AACTCAAAATCATAAAAAAAAAAAAAAAAAAAAAAGGGACCACGTTTGCCGGTCTCATAGAGCCTGATGGAACCACTGAGACTGGAGACAGCTTGGGGGACAGGAGGGCATGGTAGGAAAGGATACAGGGAAGTGGGAACTATGTGGAGGAAATGGGAAGAAGCTTTGCATTGTGGGAAATTGCAGTCAATGTCATGAGACAAAGTGTATGTGAGCTGCTGTATGAAAAGTGAATTTGCTCTGTAAACTTTCACCCAAATCACAATAAAAATTTAACAACAACAACAAAAAAAGCATTTGAGTAGCCATCTAAGTAGTAAATATTTGTCTCTTTTCTTCCTGAGCAAAGAAGAATGAAGAAAATTAAAGAAGCATGGAAACAGTCCAGAGGACAAATGGACAATGAGAAACAACCTATAACTTTGAGACCAGAAGAACTAGATGGTGCCTGGCTACCAATGCCAACCACTTGGAAAGGGATCAAAATTGGAGACCCTGGATAGAGTGGAAGAGAAATGTGGAACAAAACTCAAAACCATAAAAAAAACAAAGAAACAGGCTTACTGGTCTGGTGGAGATGGTAAAACCCCAAAGAATGGTCCCTATTCACCCTTCGAGCCTGGAAGTGAACTCAATCCTGTGGCTCAGCCAAACAACAGATAGGCCTATAAGATGAACACCTATACCAGGGAGATGCACTCCTTAGAACAATCCATCATGGGAGATCAGAAAGGCAGTATTTGCACACGGAGAAAGATAGGGAAGGCAGGAATACATAGGCAACAAGGACAGGGGAAGGGTAGCCACAGGGAGGAAGTGGGAAGAGAGCTATTACACTGCAGGGAATGTAACCAGTGTCAAAACAAAACATGTATGAACTGCTGAATGTAAAAATCATCTGCTTTGTAAAATTTCACCCAAATCACAATCAAAGTTTAAAAAAAAAATTCTCTGTCCTATTCTAGTTTGCAGAATTGCTTTAGACCAGATACTGCTGTATGAATCCTATTCTTTTGCTATTTTGGTTAAATATTCCTTTCTCAAAATTGTGTATTGAGTGTACACTGAGGGGAAGGAGAGGGGGAACAGAAAATCTGTCTCCTTACTTCACAAGTCTCCAGAGCAAGAGGAGCCAGATCCAAAAAGCTCATCCATGTCATAACTGGATGCAGAGCATGAGATAATGTACTCTGAATCTGAGGTCATAACTAGATGTGAATCCTGGGAATCTTGGAAGAGCTGGGTGTAGATTGCATGCTGGAGAGATGTCCACCAGACATGTCGGAGAGAACTGTCTATCAGAGGGAGAATCACAGAAGACTGTCTGCAAAGATGGCTGCCAGCAATACTTCCTATTTTTGTATACACATGCTATTCTTCCAATTGTGAGATGGAAATTATTTCCCCTCCCCTTAAATCTTAACTGATCTTGTGATTTGCTATGAAAAACAAAATGCTGTGAAAATGATGATCTAGGGCTTAGGAGGACTGGATACTTCAGTTTAGCTACCCTGGTCTGCCATGTAAAGAAGACCAGGCAATCATTCCACAAAGAGCGGCCAAGAACAGAGAAAAGATCTGGTTGATTAAAAAAAAAAAAAAAAAGTCACGCTAGCTGGAGAGTAACTGAGGTTTCTCAACTAAAAGCTAGGAATAAGGCTCAAGGCATACAAGTGAAGCCATCTTGGATCCTCTAGCCCCATTTGCGCCACCTTAGTTGACATCTGGTAGACAAAAGCAAGGTGTCTCCTGGCCAAAACATGACCCAAAAATTATAAGCAATGAAATAGTTGCGATTTTAAGTCACTGTGGTGCCATGAATAACTTCGTACGGCTTTTCCAGCCAGTCTTTGTGACTCTCACCAGATTACTGGATAATCAAAAAAAAAACAAAACTCACTGCCGTCAAGTTGATTCGACTCACGAGTGAACCCGTCCTTGGATTTCCAAGGTAGTATCTCTACAGAAGTAGATTGCCCAATCTTCCTTCCGAGAAGCGGCTGGTGGGTTTGAACCGCCAGCCTTCTGGTTAGCAGTCAAATGCCTTAGGCATTTATGCCACCAAAGCTTGATTACTGGGGAGGATCACGTAAATAAGGTACATGTGGGAATTGGTTAATTTTGTCATTCTGCAAGGCTCAAAATGAGCCTTCCTAGAGGCAGAAAAAGGAGCTCTGGTGGTGTTGTGCCCAAGGCATTTGACTGCTAACCAGAAGGCTGGTAGTTCAAACTCACCAGCTGCTCCACAGAAGGAAGATACGGTAATCTACTTCCATAAAGATTTACCACCTCAAAAACCCAAAGCAGGTCACTATGAGTGAGAATCAACTTGATGGCAATGAGTTTGGTATTTTTGGTTAGCGGAAGAAAGGGGGATCTCACTGCTATCGAGAGAGAAGAGTTGAAGGTGGAGTGGTGAGCGTCCTTGGATTCAAGATCCCTGCACTGGGCCACCTTGGCAGAGACGACTGGCACAGATTACTGGCTGAGATGACAGCAAAACAACTAAGAGGCACAAGACAGCATAGCAGGCTTGCCAGCCCATGGATCAAGAAAGCTAACTGCCTTTGGGCAGAAGGCTTGCTGGCAGGACAGGGGGCACCCAGCTGTCCCAATCAGCAGAGCTAAAAAGAGAGCAGAGTAGAGGCCAGGCTGGGAGGCCAAGGGCCAGAGAGGCATGCCTGAGGGCACAGCAGAGGGGAGAATACCCTGATCAAAGAACTGTATCCTGAGCACATTCCTAAACCTGAATTGTAGCCTGTTAGTTCCCTAACAAACTCCATAATCATTGAGTCTGTGAGTTCTGTGTGGCCACTGAAATGAGCTCTGGTGGCGTAGTGCCTAAGGCATTTGACTGCTACCAAAAGGCTGGTGGTTCAAACTCATCAGCCACTCCTCGGAAGGAAGGTTGGGCAATCTACTTCTGTAGTGATACTGCCTTGGAAACCCAAGGAGAGGTCGCTAAGAGTCGGGTTTGACTTGACAGCAGTGTGTTTGGTTTTTTGATTTTAGCAGAGAAATAGTGAGTGGGAGGGATGACTGGTGTCAGAGTTGGTAAAAAGGCTGGAGGGTGGTAGCATGTCTGGCCTCATAGGAATAAGCCTTGGGCTAATGATGGTGATTCTCTCTCCCCTTTGGGAAGTTGGAGGAGGTCAGAAGATGCTATCTCCATGCCCTTTTTTGCAGTCACTAAGTTTTGGAGTAACTTTTTACTCAGTAATAGATAACTGTTAAGAGGTAGTAAATTCAACAAATCCAACAAAGGAGAAGTACTAGGTACTACCTAAGAATCAATAACAGGATACAGTTCTACTCTGTCCTAGAAGTTTGCTATGAATAGCAGTCAACTTGATGGCACACACACAAAAAACAGCCATCATGTAATCTGGGTGACAGGGGAAATTTTCCTGAGAAGTGATATATTTAACAGTAGTTATCATGTAACATTATTTAACAGAGGTGTAACTATGAATGGAAATTGTGTTGATGTTTAGCATATACTTTCTTAAATTTTCCACAATACACATTTTAATATGAAATAACAACAAAAAAATTATTTTAAAAAACTCCTTG